TTACAAATATAACGGTTATTTAAGAAAAGAATTATGTTTTCAGAGTAAATGGATACTCGTTTATTGATAAGAAATAATAATATAATAAAAGGAAATCGACCGTCGTCGAAATAAATGTAATTGCGAACACCAATACGAAACACTTTGTAACTCTGCGAAATACTGCGAAACACACCGATACTAAGTCTAATCTATGCTGCTTTTATATCTTTTCTTCTGACTAATTGATCCATTTTAGTATCGATTTCTACACTACTAATAATTAGCATTCTCTCTCTACAACTCTACGCTTTTACTATACTTCCGGCATTACTTCTGGCACTACTTCCGGTATCACTTCTAGTATCACTTCCGGTGCAACATTACTTCACTTCTAGCGTAACCTCTACTTCTGGTGCAACTGTGCACTTCCGGTGTGACTACTCCAAAAATTAGTGCTACCATCTTCGTACTATCTTCCGCTTGGTGTCGATCCTTGAAATCCTGGTGACACTAACGGGTACCGCAGAAATCTAGAGAGGAATACGTCATCGCCCACTGCAACGTCATCACACAACACAGAAGTGAGAGGTTCCATCGTAAAATCATTGCCGAAAACTGCTCCTGCAACACCAAGGTATGGGCCAGCTATGTAAATAATAAAAGCTGGATTGAGACTTTTTTGTATTGTGCTGTTTGCGTTGGCACCAATTTGTTTGGCATATGAGGCACAAGCCTGTATATATGGACATCTGCTCCCTTCACCAATTTCATTTTTCATTTCCCCAATTAAGAGACTGAAAGTATTTTTGCCACTTGAGAAACCTGCCCAAAGATCAGCTTCCTGATGAGGTCCTGGGAGAGCTAATTTTGTAATGTCAAGTTCGAAATAATCAGAAGCCCAATCCGAAAACTGTTTCCGTCTATCATCCTCTAATTTGAAAGCTGCTGTCATTTTCACAATGAGTTCGATAACAGAATCACAATCATCTTTTGAAATAAGACAGCTAGTGCAATTTTCCTGAAAGTGAGCAAAAACTTCATGGTACAGTGTGACAGGAATGTCTGCACTGTGAGGTCTGTGATTGAAAATGATTGGATCGCATTTCTCCCATTTGCAAAAGCTTGAGGGCGGTCCTATGTCTTCAGCAACACGCTTAGCCTTTTTCGAAGCCGCGCTGTACGTATAGTCTTCTCTGCTTGACGTTTTAGTTCTACATATAATATAAGAATATTTAGGAAGTAATAAAGCAATCCACAGTACGGAAAAGTCAATTCTAGCTTAGTACATCTCCATAATTAAAAAAGAACCGTATTGTTACTCTAAGACGAAACAAACCACTCGCCTCTGCTTCGATTATGAGCACACTTTACATCAAGTACTTACCACTACCATATAGCTTCTATTCAGTGACGGGAGAATGTGGAAGGAGAAGGGGAAATGATCATAGACTAGTCAACTAATGTGAAGCAATAAATGCCCAAAACAAGCACATGAAGAGGACCCATGTCACTCTACCCTATGTACACACTACTCTATGTCCCCAACGCCCGAGTCACAAAGTCGTTACCTTGCTGAGCAGTCGCTGCCGTGAGGGCTCGCTGCAGCTCCTCCACCTGTGCTATGCGCTTTGCCTTTTCCGCCTCCAGGCTCTTCTTCTCTTCCTCCAACTTGTCCAGTCGTTTTTCCTCCCGCGCAGTAATCGTGCCCATCCTCTCCTTCCCCTTCAGCTTTTCCAGCCACTTCCCACCGTTTTCGTTCTCCTCGAACTTCTTTAACGCAGCCACCGCCTCCGCTTCTTTCGCCTTCGCTTCTTTCAACTCTTGTCTTCGACAGTCATTTTCCGCGGATTGGTTTTTCGTAGGTAGAAGTTTTTTAGAGTTGAGGCTGCAATGCCTTTTCCT